GCTGCTAAAGGAGTTTAAGAGCAGCTAGAGGAGCTGCAGTTAAAGGAGTTTCTCTGTCCATCTATTCACTGCTGCCCATGGACCTTAGACAAAATTATATAAGTTAACCTAGTGGACCTTGTAATAATTTGAATGGTAATCCCTGGTGCTGAGGAGCAGTTATCCAAACCTTAATCAAAACTCAGATGTGGGGGCGGTGGCTTCTTGTTAGGGACAGAAATACATCGTGGTTCGCAGGTGCTGCTTAATGCAACGACACATTGGTTAATCTCTTCAAATCTTTGTGAAATTCATTGAGATTTTGACAGATAGATTAAATGTTTAATTGCAGGTCACCTTATATATTAACAAGAATCAAAAGGCCAAGTTTAGACACCCAAGAAGGAGTTGGGTACCTCAGAGTTGCGTGATCTTCTCTCTTGCCGTGCCACTTTCCCTTCCCAGTAGAGGAATATTAAGCGATAACCACCTTAAGTCTATGAAAGAAGAATGCTAAGCACAGAAATGTGTGTAAACACTCTCCCCAGTGACTGAAGTGCCTGAATTGAAACTACACTGAAGTATTTTATCTGTTTATGATCCTTTGCACCCAATTTTGCCCAATTATTTTTGAAACAACAAATACCACTTGAAAAATGTTTGTCCCATGGCAGGAACCCAGGATTTCTTTCCTGGCAGATGAGTATTAACCACAAGGCTGTGCAGTCCTGTTCCATCTTTCTGCTTCTCCTTTAGGTTCAAGATCCGTTTGTTCTTTCCTGCACTTTGGCCTCACCTGAGAAAGGGCCCGGGTGTCCCTTTGACTTCCTATGTGTTGAAAAAATGAAATTTTAGTCAGTTTTCCATTTCCTTGAGATCAAGCAGGAAGGGAGTAAAGAATTGAAGAAGCTTAGGTAGCCTCTGATGGGTGGGTTGGGCTACTTTTCAGTATTGACATATTGAAAGTGGTAAAACTCTTACTTTAGGAATATCCCTAGTGCTTCTAAGTGAGCACTACCCTCTAATCCCTGCTATACAAGGGAAGAACACCGCACTGTTACAGCTAAAACTGAGGCTGTTTATTTGTGATTTTCTTACAGGAAACAGATTCGGGCTCTTCTAGGACGGTTTAGCCAGTCAGAGGATTTGCTAATCTCCTCTGGAGTTGAGCCAGGGACTCTGGATGGAGTTCTCTTGGATGCTGGCTGTTCTTCTATGCAATTTGATACTCCTGAAAGAGGTTTTTCCCTGCAGAAGGATGGGCCTTTGGACATGAGGATGGATAATGACAGGTACCTGTTAAAATGTTTCTCCTTGAAACTCAAAAACTGTGTGCTCAGTAACACCTCCATGCATTTAATTTCCCCTTAAATTGGAGAATTATCATCATCAAACCACATTTAATTTTGCAGGAGTATGCTGTCTTTCTTTTGCCACAAAGCTTTTTTTGGTCTTAGAACTCCGGTTATCATGTTTTCCTTCTTTGAAATAAGAGGAAAGTTCGTGATGAGTAATTAAACCGGTAACGTTTTTGCTAACTATACCATTAAAATTCTGTATTTTTGCAGTGTATGGTATACAGCTACAGAGGCATCTCTGGTTCTCAGAGGCCTGTCTTCTCCCTCTTATTTCTGCAGTTTCTCAGATTGCACTTAGTGCAATCCTTTTCCTTTCCTGCCACACTTACTATTTGTGGAACTTTCACTTGAGCACGTTCAGTTACTCCCTCAGGAAGGGAGCAACATCCCTCTTTTTCTGCAATGGCCATCTGCCCCAGTTACTTCTCTCTAAAAGGAACGTACTATAAAATAAACAAATAAAATCCCACGCGTGATATCTGCCAACTGAAATCAGATAGCTACATTGCTTTTATCGTATCAGTATAATGTTGTCTTACATGCCCCTAGATTTAATGTAAGCTTTCCTTAGAAATATTACAATTCCTTCCATATCATGTAGGAGGCACAGCAGGCTTATTTAATTGTCAAATTAACAATTACTAAATAAATCACCTCTACTGAAATTACTAAAATTAGTGTTTCATACATTCAAGAACATGAACATCAATGGAATGATAATTTCTACTCATGTAGTTTTCATCTTCAAACAACTTAATAGATTTCTGTAGCATTGGGCTTTTTACATGAGCAGCCAAAGGTGTGTAGACAATGGCAGTAATTGCATAATGCGTTACTGAGAGAATGAACATTTTTGCTCTGTGTTTTGATGAACCTGTAGTCTTTCAAAATGTCATTTGACCTTTCGTTGCTTACACAGAGCCAATGGAAAGCCTCAGTTTCTAAGGTACAACCGTAACATATTATAATGTTAAGTCTTGACACAGCAAATTTCATGATACCCACTTTTTCCAATTTTGTGTTTAAAATATGATCCTCCTGGGATTCAGCCCTCAGATTTCAAGAATCTGAACTCCAGGCTTGTATTTGGATCATGAGAATACATACATGGAACAGGAGCATAACAACAAAGGATACCTGTGTCATAACAAAAACCTTACACTACGGTTGTTGCTATGATACTACTTGCCTCTGATTTCTAAGTTTTGTCATCTTTTGTAAGGTATTGCAGGAGCGTAATAAATGCCTGAAAGGTATTCTGCACATTCATGTCTTTGTAGAAGAGAATTTATTAAGTAGGTTGTATGTTTTCTCAGTTTAGTATACCCACATATGGAATACATAAAATACCTTGAACTGTTTCATTCGTGAAGAACAGAGATATAAAAGAAAGAAATGTATGGCTTATACAGTTTATATTGTAATAAATCCTCTTATTTGTAATATTAGGTAATTTCTATTCTCTCAAAACTGTATTTGAATATAAATTCTTATGCCTCTTAGTGAAAAAGTAAGGAGTTAAATTATTTTCATGAGAAATTGTTTTCATAGCAGAAAGAAAAGATCCTTGAGATCAGTTCTGACTTGAAAACATCATAATGCAAGGTGACTAAAGTGAACCTATGTGGGGCAAGTTTGTATTCTAAAACTGGCTAAATAAGAAGTCACACAGCACTTCCATTTTGGCATGATGCTGAAATATATTTATTTTTTTCAACGCATTAAGCGTAGTTTATGATAATACCTGGAAGTTTCAGCTGTTCAAATTGATGATAAGGAGCAAACTCCATTTTAAGTAACAAAAACAGGATTTAAAAGGTGCCAGCTATATCTGTCTTCATAGGGTTGCTGCCTTTCATTTGGACACCTCAGAGGCACTTGTATGCAGTGTATGTGTTTGACTTTATGTCTCAATGCTATGAAGCTTCACCTCTTGTCAATGAAAACTGACGTCAGTGAACTAATTGGCTCTTCTTGTGCGTAGGTACCCTGACATGCCCACTGCTGCTGATGTTGTGAATGCTTTAGATCAACAAGCGCTTGCGTCCATCCTGAGAACATACGGGGAGGAGAGGCACGCCAAGAAAATCGCTTCAGCCATCGTTCAGGCACGCAGCATATACCCCATCACCAGAACTCAGCAGCTTGCAAGCATTGTTGCAGGTACCCTCATTAATTCTTCACGGTGGCTGAGGAGAAAAAATATTAATCCCCAAGTCCCAGAGGGATCTATTTGTACTTGAAATCATGCAGGATCTAATCCTGCCTATTCTGCTCTGATGTCAGCACACTCTTTTTTTTTTTTTTTTTTTAAGCTCCCACTTTTTATATTGTAGTTTGATGGTGAGTTTAATAATAGATTTTACATGAAGTGATTTATCATTTTGCTACCAAGTTAAAACAAAGAATGACAGCATCCTAGGGAATTCTTTATCCAGGCTATTGATAAGCCTGCAAATATCTGATACGTCATATACCTCTCTTCATTTTAAATTTCTACATTTTAATATTTTGACGGGAAGTACCATGGCAGTTTCCAATTTTGAATGAAATCAGATTGTTTCTTTCTGCTTAAAGAACCAGGAAGCAAAGGGTAAAACAATAGAGTTTGCTGCACCCTGTGAATGTCAACTAGATCAGCCTGAAGCAACTATTGAAACACTTTGTCTTACTTGTTCTTCATTGTAAACAACTTGAACAAAATGTAGTTAGGCAGGAACTGTGCTTACATCAAGAACCTTCGTGATTGTGTTCTCAAGTGAAAATTTTCAAGGAAAAATAGGAAACACAAATCCTGGTCATTAACATTATAACAGATGATGTTGGGATATTTTTGGTTTTTTAACAAAGAAATAAAAATTATTTGGTCTTGTCACAAATAAATCTAAAATGCTGACTCCTTTGAATATAGACCTTTTAAATGGCTATCCAAATTTAACATTTGCTAAAGAATAGTGTTAAACATCATATTGAAGATTTTTTTTAAAATACTGTGTTCATAAACTGTTCATTCAACTTCCAGTTTAAGTAATTACTTTTAATGACCAACAAACAAATTAAAAGGTTTGGATTTGTGTAAAGCAGGATACTTGAGCAAAATACCCAGTCAACCCAGGCCCAGAATTTAGCTGATATGATTAAAGGACCTGAAGACACTGCTTGCTGTTTTAAACCCCTGCTGTAAAATATAGTGAATGTGAGGAACAAAAAATGTTTAAAAACCAAAGAGAGAAAACAAGATGAGTGTTTTACAAAACGTGAAGAGGTACATTTTAATATAGTCATTGTCATCAACATCAAGAACTAATAATTTAGGGGTTTGCCACATGTATCTCATACTTTTTGCAAAACCGTTGACTAAATCAGTGTACCGTTATTGGGATTGAAGCAACCATATTGCTATGCTAAAGTTGTAATGGGTGATAGGCTGCAAACAATCAACTCAGTAACTTCTGCAATAATTTTGTGCTCTGGCTTGAACCAAGAAAAGAAAAATACTAGTGATTAAGAGAGTGATTGAAGATCCTTTCATGTTTTATGTGTTGCATGTGAGTCATCACTTAATGGTCACTTTCTGTGACAATGAAAAGGATTTTTTGTCCTCACTTCAAACTCTCTGCTGAATTTGAAGCGTAGCTTGATACGTGAATCAGGTATGCATCAGATAGTAAACGTGCCAAAGACAATGAATCCAGCCCATCTCTGCCAAGACAGTAGATAGGTATGTTCTGTGTGCTTTTTTTGGAAGTATGCAAGTAATTAAAACAATTTTAGCACTGTTGCACTGATCCCCTTTTGAGTAGAACTTCTTCCAATTTTAATTTGATTCCTCCAGTAAAGGAGAATAGAGGTGGATCCTACTAGTTTTTTAACTGATTATACCTTAAGATGATTTCTGCTAACTGCAATATGTTTTGTTAAATTTATCATCTGTCATCTCTGTTCTGTTGCAAAACTAAGGTAAACCAGAGCTGAAGTGCCAGAGACCACAGCTACAGGCTCTTCTTGGTGGCACAGCACAAAAAAACCCCTGCACTTACTCAGTACTTTACCAGAATAAAATCTATGACCTACGAGTTAAATGTCAAGTCCTTTAAAAAATAAAATATTAATTAGAATAATAAAATCTTGCATTTTGGGTTTTGCAGACTCTATATGAGCATGATTATCTCTCCAGAAAAGGATCACATTTTTACTAGTATAGGAGCCAAAAAACAAGGGAAAAAATAATCTAGCCAGTGAGGCTGGGTATTTATGTCTTTCTCAGCTGGTGTCAGTATCTGAGAATTCATGTATTGTCCATATTTCTTTCACATGTTACAGATTACTATGGCTTTGGATTTTCTAGAACTCCAAAGCTTTGTGTTAAAGTCTTGCTGATAATAAAACTACCAGTGAATCTAGATTTAGACTAGTCTGAAATTGGGAAATTTCATTTTTATTTATAGAATGCTAATCTTGTGGTCTTTCCTACCACCCCCTAAAAGGTCAGAGCATGTATTGCTGTTGCTAAATGATTGGGAAATAGGACTGAAGAATGTAATTATAAAAACAAACCAACCAAACAAAAAACACTACAAGAAAAGCAACTCCACAGTGATCATAGAACAATCAGGCATTTCTAAAGTTTGTACTGGCAGGAGTTATAATTTTAAATAATAGTTTGAAAAAATACATAAATAGATTTGTATGTCAAGATTGCCTTCAACAACTTGAGGCTTATTGAGGTATCCAAGTGTTTACTTGCTCTCCTTTGTTCCAGTTCAAGAAGGTAATACCTTTTATGTGTCCAAAAGGGTTCTGATCTATTTAAATAAGGTCGTCTCTGAGAGCTGTGGAGTCTGCAGTTTATGTGGGAATAAGGAGGAGTTTTCCGTTCAGTCATGTGAATATCATCTCTTCCTGCAGCACAGTCGAACTCCACTCACTGTTTATAATTTTCACACAGATCTCTGCAATGATGAACTCTGCAAATACTAAAGATCAGTAGTTCTCAGCTGAAGGTCTGTGAATAGGTGTGTGGAAGTCGATTAAGAAGCACTTCCTGATGGCTTTTGCTGTAGCTCACTGAGCTGTTTGGAAACAATACGTTTAACTCAATGTACAGGAAAACTGGATAAAAATATTGAGGTTTTTACAATGTAAGTTTAATATGCTTTTCCGTACAATTTATGATCTTTATTTTATTTATTTATATTCAGTAAATAATATACCTTGTAATCTATTGGGTTTTGTTCACCAGTTATTTTGTCTCAGTGTAATTTGACTACATAACCCATTAACAGATCTTGAGATAATGTCATTTGGACTTAACCTGAAAGGAATTGATGATGAGATATTGAAGAAAACTGTAAAGTTTAGAAAGAACTTTAATGAGTAAAGCCAGTCTCATTCAGATTGCTTCACATTTATAGACTTTAATTATCAGTTTGGAATTTGTAATATTGCCTGAATTTCAGATGGGTAAGAATTAACACTGTACTGAGGGAGCCTAGACTAAAGGACATTAGTTGCGTCACAGAAAGTTATTAAATGCAATGCTAATTCAACAGACGGATTCCTGCAAACAGGTGCACGATCTGAATTAATTTTTAAACTCTCCCACTCTCATACACTCTGGGGACTTTAATAGTTCATATTGACAGGCACAGCATGTTGCTAATTTCATTCACAAGCTTTAAAATTTCAATACTTTTCAACATGTGAATCTATTAGATTTTTAAAGGTGTAAGTAGCATCAGGGCTTCCCAACATTAAAAATGATAATTTCTCTCACTGGGGTTTCAATTTAGTCATCTAGCCAGAAGCGTGGTGTTTTTTATGAATGAAATTCATTTTACAAGCTTCTCATACAGCTTTTTTTTTTTTTTTTTTTTAATTTTTGTACATTGTACAGCCTGTTACCAGGAAGGATTTTCTTCTGGTGTCATGCTAATTGGAGGGGGCCAGATGAGAGATTTTGTGCCATAGCTGAAAGCAAAACCAGGTCTTCATTTAACTATACCAGAGGACTAAGAGTGGGGTAGGAACGTTTTTCACCCCTGGAACTTAGATTAAAATCTACTCCCTTTACTAAACAGATGAAGGCCACTGTGAACGAAATCACTATCACATATTACACTCATTAGTTAATCCCAGAGACTGAAGACAGACCAATAGGTCGTTGAACTTGGAAATGGTTTGATTTTGGTTTTAGTCTGCTGGGGTTTTGATTGCATTAAACGGCAAAGTGGTTCCATTTCTTTACCAATTTCCTGAATATTAGTATTCTGTACCATTATATAAAATCATAGAATGATTTAGGT